CCAAACCACTGCACTCGCTGAAATCCTCCTGTGTTGTCACTGACTTCTCAGTTTTGAGAACCAAGTTTGCCATAAGCAGCAATTTGAAGCTCTATTTTATATAAAACCCTTTAATCAAAAAGCATTGCACTACTGCCTGACTCCAGCAGCTGCAGGTTGATGTAGAAACACCCAAATACCGTGAGATGACCAAAAGTCATGATACCACCACAACCCTCCCAGTTGCTAAGCCAACTCTGTCTGGTCTTGGAGGTTATGGATATTGAAGATGATCTAGGTGTAGAAGACCTTTTGCAACATTTCCCCTTGCAGTTCTGGCACATTTGTTTAGTGCTTCCCAAAACGAGTGCTCCCAGGTTAAGGATGGGAAAGGCTTTTCTTGGCTGACCTGCTGCAGCACATGTCCCTTTTTTAACATCTCTAGAGATAAGGACCTTCCAGTTGAGTTGGAAACTCAAACCAGCATGTAAATGGCCTGGAGGAGATATCCGTGCCCTCACTATCCAGAATCATGCCCTGCAGTCTCCTGAGAAGAGCCATCCTTCCCTTTCCTTCCACCCTTGCACCTGCAGCAGTTGTGACCATCATCCATCTGGTCAGCAGAGAGGGGTGAGCCAGTCTTGGATGTCACACATGCTCTCCATGACACTTGAGGAGGTTTCTCCTACAGGTTTGGGAGGATAGGGCTCCCACACTGCTCCATCCTCCCCTTTTCAACAAATGAAGTGCTCCCAAAATTACAAGCATGTTTTAAAGCAACAACAACAAAGGAAGCTCAGACTTACTCTAGGACAGTCCTTCCAACAGGTTCACAGAGAGGGACTCAGAAATCATCAAGATTGTCATTGCACCACCCTGGTGCCTATGGGTCTCGCACCCTGGTTTGGCACCCCATACTCTATCCAGGATACACTGAGTAATGCTGAAATGTGTCCCTGCCAAGTCCCCACCACCTTATGTCCTCCCCCAACCAGAACACCTCCCAGATTCTGCAGCAAACCCCCCCCCAACCCCTCTCCCAGCTTCATTTGCTTCCTTACTTGGGCACCAACTCACCAGTTCTTAAACAACACACTTCCACGGGGCCAGATCTGCATGCAGCATGGTAAATCCAGATCAGCTTTCATTAGAACTTTGCTGGTAATTCCAGCATGAGCAAAATGTGGCCACTATTTGTTAATCTTTTCCTTAAAAACAACGGAAATCGTGACACCACCCCAAGACCCTTGTATGAGGGATAAGTCGGTCCAGCACCCATTTGTCACCATTAAATGCACACAGATGTGTGCAAGCCCTTTACACAACCCTTACATCAATGAATCTCAGAGCCTGTTTTGTCTGTGTTTGGGGTTAACCGTCTCCCTGTTATCAAAATAAGTTATTTAAAGGAACACAGGAATACAGGTTGGTGCTGTATAGGCTCTATAGAAACCACTGCACACCCACAGCAGCACCACCAGCACACAACTTGCCCTGGATTTCCTCAGCCTGCGATGCTAAAATTGAAAGAAAGCTTATTTTCTTTGTACCAGCTGGCTTTCCAAGACTCAGGAGCGTCAAAGGAATTAAGCCATTAAATGTGGATGCATTTGATGGATTATGAGCTATGAAAGCCTAGTGGTTACTGACTAATAAGTCTGGGAGGTGGAGGTGGGGTGGTGGCGGTGGGGGAAATGTTTCCTCTTGTAAGAATGAGTTTCTAACAAGACAGGTCAAAATATGATGTGGATGATAAATTGCTTAGTACGAGTTGCCATTAACCCAGCAGCTTCCTGCATTATTAGATTATCGAGGTATCCTCAGAGTGTACTGACCAAACAGTTCTGTTCTGTATTGGCGCTAATTTGCAGGGTAGGATCTGGAATGGGGGTTATTAGGCTCACTGCAGTGAATCCAACACTCCAAACAAAGGGGCAGCTGCTGGCAGGTGTCTGTATCATGAGGAACACTTCGGAAGGGAATGGGTTTATCCATGTCGCGGGGTTGGGGTGGGGTTTTGGGGGTTGGGATTCATCTTTTAACATGCAGAATCTCATTGTCTGACATGATGGGGGGGGGGGGGGTGGTGGTGTGTGAATTAAAAAACTAAAATCATAATAATAAAAAGGAATAGAAATAATGAAAAGATCACATTGGAAATGATCAGCCCCAAAAGGCATGCACGTCTCCCTTCATGCAAGCGAGAAGCACAGCTTCCCTCCTCAGGATGCTACGGGGACATGGAGCTCGGCACTGGCCCCGGGGCAAGGATGGAGCAAGAACAAAGGGCCACAGCATACACTACTACATCCATGGAGAGCAACCCGCTTGTACTCATACAGGGGACTGGGTGGGGAGGCAGGGGACACGACAGGGTAGTGGCCAAACAGTCATTGAGATACATGGAGAAGGAAGCATGAAGGAGGAAATCATAAATAGATGTTTTTAAAGCTAAAATAAACCAATGAACCAAACTGAGGATAAAGCGGGGTGGGAAGGCACGGCCTTGCAAAATGAAGCATTTCTTGGAGGGGTGCTGGGGTGGGAGTTGCTGGAGACACTCGTTTTTGTTTTGTTTCTTGACATTTTTGCGGTGAGAACAACCACAGACCTGCTGCATTTGTCCTCCTCCTCTCACTTAAAGGCAAATAACCCACCCAGTGTCTCCCACCAACTTTTGTGCTATTAAGATGCTCCCTCTCCTCCCCTCTCCCAGCCCCATTTCCTCTGACTTCCCTAGCTTTCTTGCTGCATCCAAGCCAAAACTGGGAGGTTTTAACAGGACCATTTTGCAGACCTGGGAGGGGGAGATCTGGCGCAGGGACAAGGAGAGGTGACTGGGATTAACATTGTGTTTCAGCTGCAGCAAAACCGCTCGCTGACCGCTGTTAAGTTGCCCATCCCTCCCTGGTTCCCACATTTTAAGCCTCCCGGTGACTTTTTCCCAATATACAGTTATCTCTATTTGCCCAAATGGGGTTATTCAGGAGATGGTGGGTCTGGAGGCATTAGGGAGGAACATGTAGTTACAACATTAGCAGCTGGGATGGTTTTATGAGCCTCACGGGGGTCTACTGAAGATATTTACAGCATGCCAGCCACCACGGGACCAAGGCACTGCAACTTCTCTCCTAGCAGATGGTGGGCAGGGCACTCGCACATATGTTTAAATATACAGCTAACAGATTAGCAGGATCGTTATCTTTTTCCCCCAGGTTCATTTACCTCCTGTTAATCAGAGTTCAAATAATAATAATAATAATAACAATATTATTATTATTATTCCCCCATCCATCCAAACATCATCTCATTTTGACATCAGATTCATAAGGAATGTGTAATGTTGTAACTAGAATGAGATAAGCAGCAGACCCTTCATCAAACAGCAAATTCTGATTGATAACGAGGGTTTGGGCTTATATTTTGGGCTATTCTGCAGTAAAACAGAACTCTGCATAGGCACAACGGTAATGCGGGCTGTGCGCCTGGAAAGCATGAACACAGAGGCTAATGCTGAGGGTAGATATGGGATAGGAGAACAATGAAAAATAAAATGTATTAAGAAGCCCCCAACATCTGCACTACGGGGAGGAAAAAATCCACTCACTTAAATCTCATAATAGGGAGAAAAGCAAGGGAAAAAAATCTAAACAGCAGGATACAACAATAAATGGGAAAACAGCAATAGAAAAAGCACACTAGGTTAATATAGGAAAACTAGTTTCTTTATTGAGAGATCGTATATTAGTATTAGTGGAATCATGTGTAACAATGTCATCATGCACACAATACAAAAAAGGCAAGGCCCACCATGCTATGGAAGGGCAACAGAACAAAAGCAGCGTACACTGAGCAGATGTATAGGCTACAGCACATTACATTTCAGCAGGGTATGTCTCTACAGAGAGATTTACATCAGAAAACTAGATAATGTAAAAAAATACAGACCATGCTTTAAGTTTTAGTACAAGAAAAAAGGTGAAGAATACACAACCAAAGGATATTCGATACAGAAAATTACCCACAAAATAAGAACAGGAAGTAATTTAGCACAGCAGAAAAAAATGTTATCCCTGTTTAATGGAAGCCCATTTTGCCAGGCATCTCTTTATGAGATTTTATGGGCGGGTGGGGGAGAAGGGGGTGGAAGGGACGGGACACTTGTGGCTGGTGGGATGGGTGGGATGGAGATGGGGTGACTGGGCATCACCCCCAGTGGGGACAGGGATGCTGCACCCCTTCTGGAGTTACCTCCCAGCAGCTTCGGGGGGATATTTTACCCCGTTTCATCCCAGGTATTTCTTTCATACACTTTTCCGATTTTATTTTCAGAATTCAACCAAATTTCGCGTTTCCTTGCCCGATTTCCCACGGCAGGAGATTGGAACTGGTGATCTTAAGGTCTTTTCCAACCCAGATCTCTATGATTCTATGATTTCCCCTCCTCAGTCCACGTTTTTGGGAAGGGTTTTGGCCACAATTTGGGAGCTTTTGGGTCATCCCCCTCTAAAGGAACTTTGCGCCCAGCGACCACGGCAAAATGAAACCACTTAACAGGAATTTACAGTGCAATGTACTCAGCTAAACAGGATGAAGGTACAAAAATGGCTGTTATCGTCTACAGCTATGCTGAGATGGGCTGGTGGCTACGCTACACGGCGAGACGGGGAGGGGGTAAACCAAACAGTAAAGTAAAACTTAAAAGAAAGTTAAAATAAAAAAGAAATAAAAGCAAAGGAAAATGGACCTACTGAAGCACAGACTGGAGGTGCAGGCGGGAGCTGGGGACACCCGGGGTGGGGGGTGGGGGTGAGGCGGCATCCCAAAATGGGCACTGCTGGGGCTGCGCTGAACGGGGCTTGGGCGGGGGGGGGAACCCTTCTCCAGCCGGGGAATACGGAACCACACACCCGCACCACCCCACAACACAAACACATACATCCCCTCACCACCACCACCACCACCACCACACCATCCGCGGCGGAGCGGCCCCGGGACGCGAACCCGCGGCCCCGCGGTACCTCTGTTGCGCACGGAGCCGAAGACGGGCAGCACCAGGTAACCGACGTGCACCAGGACCATGCTGCGGCCTTTGTGTGGCGGCGCGGCGCGGCCCCGGCCCCACTCCCTGCCGGCCCCCTCCGACCGACCCTCCGACGCGCCGCCGCCGCCGACTGCGGCCCGCGCGCTCCGCTCGCGCACAAAGGCTCCCGCCGCCAATCGCAGCGCGGACAGGGACGTAGGGACACGCCCCCTCCCCCCCCGCGGGGCCGGGCCTGCCAATGGGCGCAGGCCCTGGAGCGATCGGGAGGGGGAGAGGGGCGGGGGGGGGGGTGCTCGGGGGCGCGCGTTCGCACGTGCGGCCGCTTCTCTCTCTTCCCCCCCCCTTGCACCCCCCGCCCCCCCCCCCCCCCCCGCTGCCCGTGGAGCGGGCACGCGCGAGCACGCGCTTGTGAACAGCGCGCGCGGGTGTGTGTGCACACGCACCGGTACACGTGCGCGTGCGCGTGTGTGCGCACACCTGTACGGGGGAACGTGAATGTGTGCTCCTGTGCACACACAAGTGCGTGCGTGCAGGCGTGCGTGCGTACACGCGGCCATGTGTGCGTGTGTCTTCACGTACACACAGCAGTACATGTGTGCATGTGTGTGTACGCACACCAATACACATTTGCACGAAGGCATACGTATGCACGCACAAGTGCACATGGGCGTGCATTCGTATGCACCCAGCAGTATACATGTGTACGTGAGCACGCATACATGGGTACATGTGTGCCTGAGTATTCACACGCACAGAAATCGTAGAATCATAGAATCATAGGATAGTTAGGGTTGGAAAGGATCATCCGGTTCCAATGCCCCTGCCATAGCATGCATGGGCAGTAGCACATGTGCGCAGACACATGGACACACGTACTTGGGCACATGAATGCAACCATCCAACCTTCATCCGCATCCTATCACCATCTCCATCCCTGTCCTACCCTTCCTATCCCCATGCCTGTGTGTTGTCACTCCAGTTTCTGAAAAAAAAACCCATTTGCTGGTTCATCACTGACCTAAAACGTCTTCAGCTGAGCCCAATGGGACATGAATCCTGGAACACCCCTGGGCTCAGAGCCCTCCTTGTGGGGCAAAGACCCCCACAGCCTACAGAAGTTACAATTCCCCCTAAAAACACCAAGCAGACCCCCATCCCTGCTCATTATACTCATTGTAATAGAGTAAGACAGACCCCATAGTGCAGGAAGCCTTCTACAGGCTCCAGGACCCATCCAGCCTTCTGCAATCCCATTTTGTGATGGCCTTTCCATGCTGGCCAGGCCAGAGGGTGCTTTTGCCATGGTCCTGCAGTGGGAGCCCCTTAATCCCTGATCGGCTTTATTCAGCCCATCCATCTGGCAGGTTTCAGGCTCCTACACGTGTGTGCTGTGGATTTGCTGGCCTGGATTACTGTGCTGGTTTGTCGATGGGGTTGTTTTGTGGCTCTATTGTGTTTTTTAACCCTGATCTGAATCAAAACAGAGGACTGGCAACCTGGATCTCTTTAACCCTTCCAGCCTCAGGGCAGACACCAGCTCCAGCAGCATGGGAAGGATTAACTTCATCCCAGGCAGCAGGGACAGCTGTCTGCACACCCTGTACATGCCATGATGTCCACCCAAAAGGGCTCTTTGGGGTAAGGGTTTGCACTGATTTCCTTTCAAATGGGAGCAGAGAAACTCCCAGGTACCCAGTGCCTCCCAGTGCCCACCCCACTGCGTCCCAGTCTGAGTTTCCCTCCTGCTTTGCCCCCTCAGTGTCTCCCAAGAGACTTTTTTCCATGCTTATGCTGTAATGAAATGCTTCCTGTGCCCTGTTTGGGGTGCAGCATGTAAAAACTATCCTTTTACATCCATCTGGGAAGACTTTAGAGCAGCCCCAGTGCCTAAAGAGGCTACAGTAAACCTGGAGAGGGGCTTTGGACAAGGGCCTGTAGGGACAGGCCAAGGGGAATGGCTTTAACCTGCCAGAGGGGAGACTGAGATGAGCTCTTAGGCAGAAGCTCTTCCCTGTGAGGGTGCTGAGGCGCTGGCACAGGGTGCCCAGAGAAGCTGTGGCTGCCCCATCCCTGGCAGTGTTCAAGGCCAGGTTGGACATAGGGGCTTGGAGCAAGCTGCTCTAGTGGAAGGTATCCTTGTCCATGCAAAGGGGCTGGAACTGGATGAGCTTTAAAATTCCTTCTAACCCAAACCAGTCTGTGCTTTCTGCCAGTGATAAGAAGTGATTTCCAAGACGTGATCTCTGGCTCTCACTGTATTAAGCACATCCTGAAGACAGACACTCCTCCTGCTCCAGCTGCCCTGGGCAGCTGCTCCATGGCCCCTGTTCCACCAGAGCAGTTGTCAGGAGTATTGCATGAGGCTGTTCCTTTTCATCCACACACACACTCCCCCCTTGTCCGGGATACCTGATCCATGGCCAGGGCTTTGTGTGTCACGCACATGCCACAGGCACAGGCTAATGTTAAAATTAGCTCTTGGCTTCCTCCTGCCCGCATGGCCATTGCCTGTTGGTGTCCTCCAGTGAAGCTTCTTTAGTCCTAGCACCCTCAGTTTGGGGCACCCTCCCTCTTTTGCCCCAAGGTCTCATTAAAACATCATGGAATCCTTGCCTGCGGCAGGAGGTTGGAAATGGATGAGCTGTAAAGTCCCTTCCAACCAAAACCACTCTGTGATTCTATGATTCTTCTTCAATGCACTGTTCTCCAGCCTCATGGAAGTCACACATGCCACCAGTGTTCCCATAGAGTAGTTGATTTGGAGATGCTGCACCACAGGCATTGAGGCACTGGGGTGTCTCACTCCCCAGTCTCACAGGGAAGGTTTTCCTCCTTATCCAGGCACACACAGAGGATATTCAATAAATATAAAGGTGACACAAAGCACTTAAGAAGTTCTGGGGCACACATGGCACACCAGCCATCATCTTTGGGCCCTAAATTCATCCTTTCTTCCCTCTCCTGCCCATATTTTGGGGGAGCAGGGGTTTTAATGTTCCCCTTGGTAATCCCCCCAATGCTCTCCCCATCCCAGCATCCCACCACCTCCCTGCTTTGGGATGCAGCCACGGCCCTCTCCTGACAACATGCTCAGCAGCATCCCTGCTGCAGCACCCCACAGTTCCTGACACTAATCAAGGACATGGTGATAGTTTATTTATGAAATCAACACCTTGCTCTCAAGGCATCTTTGCCTTAGCCAAAACTAAGGCAAGGTCAGTGATCCTGTCCACATTCCAAGATCCTGGGCTTGGCACCCAGAGAAGCGACCCTCCATTGGACTAACTGATGGTTAATTACCTTGAAATCACAATTGGGTAGCTTAATTTCAGTGTTACATTGGATTGATTTCTTTTGCTCTTCCCTGGCTCGTTTCCATGCCACGGGACGGATTCTGGTGTATGGGCAGAGTCCGGCCAAACCCATTGAGTCCATCATGGTTCGGAAAACAGAAACCATTTGTTCTTGTCACATCCAAAGCGTTTTTGCCAGTTTTGAGACGCTTTTCCCCGCTCCGAGGAATGCAGCGAGGGTGCGATGACAGCCCGGAGTCCGTATCCTCTGGCTCTGGTGCCATCTAGTGCCTACCCAAGGGCAGCTTCCAGCCCGAGCTTCGAACTACCTGCCAGTGCCAGATTGCATTAGGAATGACCAGCATTACCTCCTTTGCAGGCTGGGTGCCGCTGAGAGCCCTCAGTTTCACCCTCGTGCTCACCCCACAGCCTTTCCATGGGGCTGGGAGAGGGTCTGACTGGGCCTGGAGCACCAGGAATTGAGGGAATTCCTCTCTTGCGCATAGGGAAAGGGATTTGGGTGAAAAGCTGATTTTGAAGCATTTTTAAGAACTCTTCTGAGCATTCTGGAGATTTTCTATAGCCCTGCACAAGCTGGGGGTGCTGGTCCAGGGAGAAACTTCACACTGGCCATCAAAGGATGGGGGAGCTCAGCATCACCTGTCCAAAAACTTGGCTATGGCATGTGATGCAGTTGTTTAGCAGGGTATAAAGCATTATAACAACACTTATTTGACTGTGAAAGAGTTATCTCCAGAGTCTGCTGGAAATCATGCTCCCTGCCTTGTGCCATCCCCAGGTGGGACTGCTTAATAATGGCCCTAATTCTTCCTCTTGCCAAGCAGATGGAGGAAGAAAACTGTGCAAAGAGGCAGTGGTTCAACACCTCCAAGTGCGAGGGGGTTTTAGTCACCTGAGACAACATTTTAGCAGCATCCTAGCCACAGGAAAGGTCCTTAAACAGTGTTAGGAGGTGTGAGGAAGGTCAGGGATGTGCCAGGGTCTCGTAGAATCACAAAATCACAAAGTGGTTTCTATTGGAAGGAACCTTAAAGCTCATCCAGTTCCAAGTCCTTGTCCCAGGCAGGGACACCTTCCACTAGACGAAGTTGCTCCAAGCCCCATCCAACCTGGCCAACACAGTTCTCCATCTTCCTTTTGCAATGAAGGAGATGAACTCAACAGTGTTTTCAATTCGCCAAGTCTTGTCTGAGACATGCTGTGAGCTGCCTTGTGAAGTTATCCATCAGGCTGTACTCACTGTTTTGTCTTCTGCTCTGTGTGACCTACACCTCCAGCATGCTCTTCACCTTCCTGCTATTGTCTTCCAATGGCTTGAATCTGCTCTGGGTCACCCCAAAGCCCACCTGCACCCATCTCCCCACCTCTGCAGGGGACACGGGTCCTCAAAACTCATGGGAACCCACCCTGACTGGTGCAAATAAGATGGAGAATCATAGAATCATAGAATAGTTAGGGTTGGAAAGGACTTAAGATCATCTAGTTCCAAACCCTCTGCCATGGGCAGGGGCACCTCACACTAAACCATGTCACCCAAGGCTCTGCCCAACCTGGCCTTGAACACCACCATAGATGGAGCATTCACAACTTCCTTGGAAAAAGAAAACAGAAAATAAACCCCAACTGAATGAATGATATTGAAACCAGGTTTAGATCTCTCTGCAGCAAGCAAGGGGCAGCACCCAGCTCTCTGGTCCCTTAATCACATCCCAGGCCTCATCTGTTATGTTCTGAGGTGGTGGCATGGGCTTGATTGCAAAAGAGGAGTCCAAGAGCTGTACTGAGACTGTCTGATGCTCACTGAACACATCTATAACACACCCAT